GAAATAAAATAGTTATAGGCAAAATGTCAAGGTAATCTTCATAATCGCATAACAATTTAAGAAGTGGTGCCTCGCACTGTGTAATATTTTTAAAATTAAACTTTTATCTTTCATGGACATATAGTACCGATTGTTTCATCTTCATATTTGTCATACTGCCCGAATTGTGATTAAAAAAAAAAGTATGCCCCAAACTTTTGATCTTAATAGCTCAACAAGTTTGTGCATCGACTTCTACGAGTCTACAAAAATCCAAAAGACGTGCGTTTCAATGTCCATGTACTGGATCGGTCCATGAGCTGGTGCGGTTTTAATTTCGATTTAAATTTTTCGCACAATAATTGCCATTTTAATTAATTTAAATTAAATTAATTTTTTGAAAACTACGGAGCGTCAAGTCAACAAGTTTGGCTGAACGATTAAATCGTAAATGTTTGAATTCTTGTTAACTTGACACTCTATAGTTTTTAAATTCGTAATAAAATAATTACCATAATTCACGGCAACGGTGGTCGCTACTCTATCAGTCTACCTCGGTTTCATTCAATTTGTTGATTAGTCAGGGAAAGGTGCGGACGCGAGGGACGCCCCTATGTTGCAGGCAAACGGTCACATTGCTACTTGTTGCTGCTCACATTATTCGACCGCGATTTACGACTCGTTCTTTGATTCGTGAGCAATCGAACATGTCAGAGCATGTTTTACAATTTCGTGCCTGATTTAATCTTTTATTATTTCTAGATTTCTTTAGTTTCATCAAATATTTACAAAAGAACTAGTACTTACTTATATATATCTTAAAACAACGAAACAAGCTTTCTTTTTTTACATGACATTATAAATGTCATAGAAAGAAGTATAAAATGCTATATACTTCTATCAGAAATGATAATGAATGCAAGAAATATTATAATATACACAGAAAACATGTATGCAATGCACATATATTATTGCAGAAAATAAAATTTATTGTATAGATCGTAGAGAGACAAAATAAATGAAAATTTGTTATAGTATTTCCGTTGATCGGTTGTATTATTGTCTGAACCGTTAGTATACATATGTACATATTGCAATCGTTAGACTATAGTTGTACTGAAAGC